CCCCCCCCCCCCCCCCAAAAAACATGCAAATTTCTTTGGCGGGAAGCGATTTCGCGAAACATGCAGAGCTGGAACTTTACAAGGATATTCTCTGTGCATGTGTAAGCTAAAGATTTCAAATTCAGCCGCCGTGTACGTTTGTGCAGCGCGTACGATTACGTCGAAGTTTTGCAACTTGGTACTATGCTAACTCGAAAACTTGCCAAGAAAAGTGGCGAAGATTTTGTCAGGATATTTGTCTTCCATATAGGAAATAATATACTTAAAATGAGTATCGGTTTGCATTTGCTCCACGACTTAGGGCACTTCGAAGATATTTGTAGCGAAGTGGATATTCGCTTGCTGGATAAGCTGCGAGGCTGAAAATTCGTGGGAATATTCTATTTTCAGGTGCGGTCTTAATCCTACTTGAAGGTGGAATTCCCACCAGGTAGGCATGAGAAATACTCAACTTTACCGGAAAATCAGGAACGAGTACGTTTTGCAGCGAACGACCGCCCTCATCCAAATTTGCAAATGAACATTAGTTCATTTGCATACTTGGGTTTTTTTACAAACACCGCTCGAGCAATACTTGCATTTTTTAGTGATCTGGAAATTTGCATTTTTTCAGAGAATTTGAACCATTTTCATTTTTTCAAAAAGCTAGCATTTACTGAAGAAGCGATCGAACTTCATGCAAAAAACTGGTAATAGTGCACCTGCATGTCCATGTGGCTCTATAACGCAACACCCTCATCCCAACCGCTACATGCCGGAAGAAGCCAAAGCATGGCCAATATGAGCGCAAGTGTTTAGCTGCAGCGCAGGGATAATTCTTGCTATTAGCGGCCCGCGAGTTTAGTATAGAAACGCATGGTCGCACCGGAAAGCCTGGTGCGTTCCAGCTTGGGTTTGCATGAAGCCCGGTCGTTTTTCCGGTGGGGGTCGTTCATCAAAAAATGCAGATTTGTAGAAAGTCGAAAGAGGACTGTGAAGCCCTCAGAGTGCATTCACTTTTGAATTTGTAATAAAATTGTGTACTTTCATGTTTGCGTAAAGTCGATGAATTTCATCTCCAAACTAAATTGGGAACACACGTGGGTGTAGAATATCTTTACAAAGTTTCAGCTTTGCAATTTGTCCAATAAGCGAAATAGCTACTTTACTAAAAATGTCTTCGAAATGACCTAAGCTGTGACGCAGGTACAAATCGAAACTCAGTTTAAGTACACATTTCCCCATTTGAACGAATAATATTCCGATGAAACCTCAGCTAATTCTTTCCGACTAGTTTTCAAGTTGACACAGTGCCATCTGTGAGCTTTGAAGTAAGCGTGCGTGCGGTACAAACTGTGCAATAGCCGAATTCGAAATTTTTAGCTCATATGTGCACAAAGTATATTCATGCGAAGCTTCTGTCTTATATCCTCTCCGGTTTACGGACTCGTTTTCCGCTCATATTTTTTCCGGGGCCCACATGCGAGATCAAGGTGCAGGCGGTAATTTTAAAGCGTGTGGAGGGCACATGTGATGGGAATATATTTCCAAAATTTCAGCTTGTCAGCTTTCCTGGTACTGTGTTGAAGAT